TGGGATAGAGGTGCATGCGAGTAGGGGTGGCTAATGTATACGCATCAACGTTGCATTTTAATGAACGGCTCAATGAATCTTGGCGAAAGTATTTTGCTCCCCAAGTTGACACTGCATGTTCAAGCAAATTTAACGTGCTTAGAAGCACAAGATCAATTACCTTATATACGTTTTGTTCTTTCTCCTACTCTTATCTTCGACAATTTCCTCGCGCACTGTAGTCGTAGCTTGCACTTTGATCGTCTAAACATCTTCGTATTGTCGACATGACTTGTGCATGTTTTCGCTCCTGGACTTTGGATCATTGTCCGGACGTCTTGACAACGCATCGGTTAAGATGGTCGTCTTGCCTGGTTTGTAATGTACAACAAAGTTGGACTCCGCAAAGAAGGATAATCATCGAGCCATTTTTTGTGATAAACGAGGAGTCTTTTTTGCTGTACGCAGCAAGGCATGATCTGTATAGATCGCAAAGCGCTCATCTCCAAGCAAGTACACATGAAATTTAACCAAAGCATACTTTATTGTTAGAAGCTCTTTGTCATGAACTGGATACTTCCGTTCCACGGGCCGGAGTTTTCGCGAGTTGTACGAAACAACTCGCTCTCGCCCCTCATCATCATGTTGCATCAGGGCAACACCGATTGTATAATCACTTGTATCGAGGACCACATAAAAACCTTATCTTGGTTTGATATTGCCTGGTGAACTTTTGAGCATTCCCACTCAGCGTTTTTCTTAAAAGATATTGCCTGGTGAACTTTTGAGCATTCCCACTCAGCGTTTTTCTTAAAAGAGTCGTTAGGGGCTGCACCAATGCTGCATAATGTATTGTGCAAATAGTTGATCAAGTCCAACCATTATCTCAGCTGTTTCACATTGTTTGGCACGGGCCAATCATTTATAGCTTTGTCTTTCTCCGGATCCACACGATCGCCATTCTTACCCATATAGCAGCCGAGATCGGGGATCTTTGTTTCCAGCTAAGCGTAAAGTTTATTTTCTCGCATAATTTGGAAGACCTGACGAAAATGATCAAGATGATCATCGACGTCAGACTTCTCACCCGTTTTCTTACTATGATTGAATATATCGTCAAAGTTACTCGGTACAACCTCTTTATAATGGGCAAAGAAGATTCGTGACCATTCTATTGAGAATCGCGGGAGCGTTCTTCAAACCTTGTGGCATCACTAATTATTTCCACAGCATACCACTCGGGGTACTGACTGCAGTTAATGGTATATCACTTTCGTGCATTCGTATCTGAAAACACGATCTTTCAGATCGATCGCACTGAAAATAGTATGTTAACCATTCCATCAAGAGTCATATCCTTGCGTGGGACCGGAGTCTGGACAGGCATGGTCACATCGTTCAATTTATTAAGAGCTCGAACAGTGCGCCAACCACCAGTGGCTTTCTTCACACAAAAGGTTGGACTACAATGCGAAGACTTACTATCAGGCACATGACCAGCCTTCTGTCGCTGCGCAAGGAACTTGTTAATAATAATAATTTGTTCTTTTGGCACCGGCCACTGCCGAAGGATACAATACGCCGTACCAGGAAGTATATTAATCTCATGACAAATGCCTCTGTCAGATGGCAATTTGTTCGGCACCTTGTCTAAAAATATTTCAGCATTTTCCCTGAAAAGTCCATGCACGGGGTTTGTCCTTAGAGCGTCCCACGACTACTCATCAATCCTTTTCTTTCGTGTCTTCTCATCAAATACTTCCGCAGTATTGATATCATCGTCGATACTTTCTTCGACAATCGCACATATTTACAAATTTTTGCCTTTCGCCAAGCTATGCTTCAGCGTCTTCTTGCTCAAAAATGGCAAGGAAAACAGTTCTTTCACTGAATTCGGGGGATCCTCAATCTTCACGTGAAGGATAACATCGACGTCACCTTCTTCGTTGTATGCCACAACATTTATAACCTTGCATGAAGTGTTTTGTTCTTGAACACTTTCTTCATCAAAACAGCTTGTACCTTGGTCAGAGGCACGCCATATACTTGACGGAAAACTCTTCTTGGCGGCCTACTTCTCTGGGGATGGGTCTTTGCCTCTGGTGCCACTATTTTTCATGCTACCATCAACCATGACTTCCATGTCAATAGCAAAGGAGACAATTTTTTTCTGGCGCCTGACTGCTCCACCTCTTTTTTTCGTCTTCTTGGGCTTGGACTATGAACAAGGGGGGGCATCGCAAACCAGAATATCACTTGGGACATACGTGATTTCTTTAGCATATGCCCATACTGTTTTGTTCGTCGTCATGCAGCTCAATTTAGCGCTGCCCGACTTGTTGACGACGATCTTCTTATTCATCCAGTCCATGTTAGACTGATAACGCTTTAACCATGGTATGCCTAGGATGATATCAAACTCATCATCGAGGTCGAGTACGATAAACTTGTCTTCAACTTGGAAATCTTCAAATTTCACTGCCAAGCAAATGACTTGCTATATTCATTCTAGATCCATTCGCTAGACGAATGATCATCTCTTCTTTCAGATCGGGCAGGCTAACGCTATGCTCAGTCATAAATGCGCTCAAACAAAGTGGTTCGACGCGCCAGTGTCAATCAAAGCTTGTAGTGGTTTCTCGAAACCATCTACAAAGACTTCTTAAAGTCGCACTTTGCGTGACACTGCCATCACTCATGGTGGAGATTGCATGCGCATCATGCACGTTGGGGTCAAAGTTCTTTGACGAAGCGAGACCCACAAGTTTTTCAGCAATAAATTCACTTCTTGATACCTTTTTGCAATGCAATAAGTAGACAGCACCAGCATTCACAGTACTCTTTTTGGACCCAGCAGGGAGCCCCAATCCTACTGGTTGCTCTCGTTTTTATTACTTCTGGAGGCGTTCAAACCGAAGACCTATAAAGCGTCCGCGATTACCCGAACAAGCACCCTGTGTTGGTTGCCAACTCGGCAAAGACACTCTGCAGTTCCGGGCAATATGACCCGGCTTCCCACAATGGAAACACTTTCCATCGTTGTGGAGACGCTCATTTACAGGCGTGGAGATGTACGAGATGTCCCTTGGCTCTGGACCATCACTTGTCAATTCTACTGGACACCTTCCACGAAAGTTGAAGTTCAAGCTCTCGAAGTTCAGGCTCCGTACACCTAAGATCTTTTATGAGTTGAAGCTGAGGTGCAACCTCAGTACACCCTTGATTTATAAATCAGGAACTCAGTTTTTTGAGGAACCCTTGGAGTTTTATGACTCATTTAAATTCTGTTGCAATTTTACGTTTAAGGTATAAAGTCGTTCTTCTTCTCTCCAAGTCGGGACAGTCCTTCTTCCTGCACGTCGGAAATCGCATCCTCGTCGCACAAGCGTGTGGGTTGTGTTTGAGGCACTGTTTGTGACCAGCGCCCTCTTACACCTGGTAGCACTTCAAGCGGTCTTTTCAGCGACGCGCGATTTTGATTTGACGACGCGGCTGTTGAGCACGTCGCACATTTCGTCCAAGCCATAATCTTGTCCTTGTCCGAGTGACATGAAAGGAGTTGGTGTACCACTCGGACCATCAGTACCGCAAATTGAGGTGCTGACCAATGAGATGTTCCCTCATTTGTCGTCACATGAGTGGATGGCACTCGAGCGGATGCGAGAAGTCATCGGAGAGGCTGAAGTACTCAGCTTACTGCAGTCGTCTTCTTCGGATGAACAGAAGAGCGTAGCCGTCAGTTTCATGTATCATGAGATTATGATATTTCTGAAGCAGGTCGTAATCCCCTGTTTCTTCATACAGAACAATGCCGCTAAAACTGAACGTGTTTTTGTACCGTGGTGGAGAGAACAAGCGTCTCTTACGAAGGTTTGTCGAGTTGAATGCAGCAATCACTGTAAGACAACTGCGAGACCCGTAGTCGCAATATCCAGCCCTGCGGGCCGTTCGAAGAGTTGGGTGTATGGGAAGCCTTCGCCGATATAAACTGCTTTCATAGCTACGAATACTTCAAATTTGAGCTGGAAAAGGCGTTTGAACCACCACAGAAAGAGTCCCGTGCCCGTGCCCGTGTCGAGTTTTCGAAGCTTCGTCAAGGTCGTTACGTCCTACACTCGTATGCACAGCGTGCTCGCTTCTTGGTATCGAGCATCGTCGACGAGACAAATAACGTTTCAGCGCAAGTCGTAACGTCCATGGCGGGCTTGAAGGATGGTCCAGCCCGGAAACAAATGTTCCGTGTGTATCCCAATACGCTATATGATGCCATTAATCATGCTATGCAAGAAGAGTTCAGCATCAAGCAAGCCAAGTTCAATGGCTTCGCTTCGAGGCAAGCGCGCCAGTCGACCAGTACTGGCACTTCAAAAGCTTGCAGTTTAACTTTCGTGGAAAGTATCTAGTAGAAGTGACTTGCGTACGCCACCACTTCGAAAGATAGAGACACGTCAATCTCGCCACCAGTACAGATCCCCAAGTACGAACCAGCCTTCTGTCTCTAAGCGTGTCTAGTTGTCCCAAGAATAGGCAATTTAAAATTGACTACTGTTTCTGCCAAGCGTATCGAAATTGTTGCTTGCACAGAAGAACCTTGGACTCAAAGCGTCCGCATTTACAACGCACAGAGGTTGAACTCCACCTAGAAGCGCAGCCAGGAGTCTCTGCTATGGTAGATAAGACGTGTAACTTTTCCAAACTAATACTAATTTATACGTCTTAAGATGTGCCATTAAGTGGCCTGAACAATGAGATTTTGGCACGGCTGTGCTTATAAATATAACGGTCCCTCAGAAGTTCTCGCCGTTTGAACTTGCATTTTGCATTATATCACTTCTGGCGTTTCTGTACTAATTATTGATACATTGTTTCTGTGGCCTGTAAATATTGTGCGGAAATAGGACTTTGCTGGGTACCTCTGACGACATATTTATACGCTCATGTCATTTCCGTGGTGAATCGGTGGCCGCAAATAAGCAGTAGCATTTCTAGTCTCACGTCAACACAAGTAGTGACCGGGCAAGATGTTGGTATGGCAGGATGTGTTCACGGACGATGAAGTTATGTCGGACTCAAACAAAGTGGTTCCTTGCAAGGACATGGAAGGAAATGAGGTGCCAGGGATGTTTCAGGTCGAGTCTAAGACGGTGGCAAAGGGCGCTGACAATGTCGACATTGGCTGCGGAGACGCGTTTGGAGGCGAAGCTGATCAGATCGATGACTCAGTCGAGACGGTCAACAGCGTTATTGATGACTCAATTGGTTTCGGTTATGTTGAGACGGGATTTGACACCAAGGCCGAGCTTAAAACGTACCTCAAGTCGTACTTTCGTAAGGTTATGAAACACTTGAAATCCACGGACACTGATGACGAAACCATGGCCCAATTCAAAAGTGATGCACAGGAAATTGTTAAATTTCTTGTTTCCATGTTTAAAGAGCTTCAGTTTTACATGTTTAAGTCGTGTGACTCGGAAGCTGGCCTAGCCTACGCTTATTACCCAGAGGGCGCTGTGACTCCCACCTTCTGTTACATCAAGTGGGGCTTGAAGGAAGTCAAGTTTTAAGCATTAGATAGAAGTGCTGATTCGTTTGACTCTCAAAGTTCTAATTTTCTAACTTGCATTAATTATAGTGCCATTTATGCATCAAAACTTCTTCATTTGCGTGATCAGTATGTGCCAATAATTCTAATGATTCATTCTTTGGTCCATTTTTCAGCGTTCGATGACAATTGCAACGACGCTGAGACCCAAGACGGTGAAAAGCACCGCCAATATTTTAAGGATGAAAATCCGAAAGTCCAGCTGCTCCACGTCGTCACGCTTCTTGTTCTCTTCGCCAACTCCATGGTCGTAGTGCAATGGAATGAAATCGACACGACGAAAGCCCTGCGTGTTCCGCAGATGCTCATTTTCCAATCGAAAAAAGCTCCAAAATGTGCGGCGGAACAACTCGAGAATCATCGTAAATGGCTGCAAGTACAGAGGCAACCAACGAGCAGCACCACGCGGTGGAATAAGTGTCAGAGTCCATGCAAAACGTAAGAAAAGGTCGGCAATAATTGCTGCGTAATATACCCATTGGTGCGAAAACATTTGCGAGTCGGCCAAGAAATGAAATTGTGGTCTACCAAGTCCCCAATCCATTGTAACATCCCAGATCCAAGCATAAAGTGAACTTGCTGTGAACAAAAAGAGCCACTCGACTACAAACATCCGCGCTTGTAACGCGTCTTCGTCGCTATTGTGCAAAGGATGGAACAACCCAAAGAGGACAACAACTTGTGTCAGAGCATATTTAGCAGCATTTGGTAAGTGAGGCCACCACGTTTTCGTATCGTACACACGGCGAAGATTTTGCAAGAAGCGCCACCATAATGGAAGCACACAAACCAATGGCACTACACCATTTACGTAGTACACATTGTTCGCACATGTATCTTCATCCAAAGTCGAGTAGAACGATCCTTCGTTGGGTGGAATTGCATCTTTGCGCAAAAACTCTTTTGTAGCAAAAAAACAAACTGACCATGTCACATCTTGTGTAATCTTGACGGTGCTTGTCAAGTAATCGCCCACAAAAGTGTGAAAAAATGTCACGGAATATAGCGGCGAGCAGACAACTTCCCACACAGTTCGTAACATGCCAATTTGCTGCCCCCACGGACGAATCGCGTAGAAATAAAATGTGTACACAAACAGCGCCAAAGGATAGTAGCCACGATGTAGTAACTCCTCTGGAAAATAGCCGTTTACAACCTTGTAATACAACAGGATATTTGACAAATAAATGATGGCCATGTTGGTGGCATCACTGAACACTTGCGGATACGATTGAGCTCGCCGCGGGTTCAATTCAAAAATATAGCGATAGTTGATTCGAGCCGCGCGCCAGACGTATAGTGACAATCCAACTAGCCAATGCAACAGTAGTAGACAGCCAATTCCACGGTAGACTGGATAAGCGCGAGTACGTACTAGGTCGATAAAGTGGCTGTGACGATTACTATGAAATGTGGGAACCACAAGAGAGTCCCAGCATACCCAAATTAAAAGAATGAGACACGAGCCAACTTTGATGCCAAGATAAATGTGACCCCAATTTACGAAATCTTCCTTTTTGGTCATCAATGTTGCCACTGCTACAGTCCTGTTTCCATCGCAAAACCAATCGGCAAAAGACTGCTCTAATCGCTTTAAAAGGTCCGAACATCGCTGTGCTTTGGCGAACTCAAATGTCTGTAATTGAGCTTTTTGCTCCTCACGTTGATCTGATGGAAAGCTTGCAATCTTGTCGTAGCGCTTAATTATCTTTACAAAACCGGTGTAATTAAGCAGCGCAAAGTTGTGCAGCAAAGTTAACATACGATGCAGCTCAACCAAGGCATTTTTTAGCGATTCCTGAGCTGAAGCAGGAGCATTCTCCCGGTACTGTTTGTGCAGAATATCAAGCTGCTCACTAAGCTGCGCTATATGATGTATATAAGCTTGTTCCACCTTGTTGTACTCGTGACGTAGCGCTTCTTCAAAAGCAACGGGCAATGAAAGCAGCGACTGCAGTTGTTCCGACCCAGTTGAAGTTGGTGGAGTCCCATGTAGCCGAAGAAACGCAAGTTTATTGCCGATGTTTTCAAAAAATATTGTTCTACTACTTTTCCCTTTGCGGTGGCTAATCAATTCATTTGTCTCCATGTCTTCAGACGATGATCGAATCTCCATTGTTCTGCTTGATGATGCGGCGGCGAACAACATGTCATCGATCTGCTGCTGATGTTCCAGTAAACGCTTAAGCCCATCATAGTCAAGGTACTCGGTACGCCACTCGGCAACGATATTATCGCGCAGTCGTAGGCTAAAATTTACCATCGTTCGTAGATCCGCTTGCGGTAAGAGATCTAATGATACCCAAGCTTCGCATCACAAAAGGTAGTTTGGAATTCATACAATACTATTTCAATACAATTTGTAGAATAAAAGCTTGGTTTCATAGTACTTAGCGGATCGAATGTATGCTACTACAAGGCGAAGAGGCTTCCATGCAGGTCTTACTTCCGCAGCGCTGCAAGCCGCATGGATAAATCGTCCTGTGACTTTTTTTCGCGTGCAGAATTTGAAGCAAGCAATTCCGTACTAACAAGACCCGCAGAGTCGAGTTGACCCGCAACCTTAAGTCCATTTTCGTCTGCGACCATTTGAATAAGGTCGTCTACTTGGTCGGCAGGCGTCGAGAGCGACGTGCCACTGCTCATAGCTCCTTCCATATAGGCTGATCGCACGTCCATGTCCTCAAAGTGCTTTTCGAACTGATCCATTGTCTGCGAGATTTTCTCCACGTTCATAGATTCCATAACCGTGTCCATACCCTGAACAACGCCGCTCATGTTGGCCTTTAGCTGTCCCATACTGATAGCCGTTTGCACACGCGCCGCTACAGCATCCATGCGAGAAGCTAGCTGCAGGTAGCTCAGCGCCTGATTTTTTTCTCGAATTACGTTTTGGGCATAAATTTTTGCCCCCTCCATGTTGCCCTGCTCGATGGCCTTTTTGAGCTTGGCCTTCTGCACAACTTGATTCTTTTCACACTTCTTAGCATTGCGCAGTAAAGTCTTAGCCGTGAACTTCATATTAAACAGCTCATCCTCCAGCTTGTTCTTGCGCGAGAAAATGTTCATCATCTGTCTTCCGTATTTAGCAGAAACTCATATGTGAAACATTAATGTTAATTTGCTAGTGTCGTTGATATTTATTTGCTCACGTATTTCAGGTGGTGACTTTTTACGCTACGTAATTAATTACCTGAGGAAATTGTTCATAAAAACTCGAAGGCAATGTGGAATATTGACAGTTAAAGTTGTAAAGGTACATCGAGCCTGCAGAGCAATATTGCAATCTTTTAAGTCATTATTGATCCATAGAGAGGCACAATCGATAAATGCTCTAATCTATGTACCAATCGCATTGTAAGTGTCTTAGTGCTTCTTCGACTTGAAAGCTGCTTTACTTCGATCCGGCGCAAATTAATGACTTGAGCAAGCCAGCCAAACAGAATGCCAGAGTAGAATAAAGCAAGACCACATTCAAGCCGCTAACAACGAATTGGCCATGCCCCTCGCACAGAAAAAGCTATGTCTCAGGAGTTCGCGTTTTCAACGCGAAAGGAGAGGGCATGTGTGCCTCACCCAGAGCGAGATCCTATAAAATGATCAAATATCTAGTTTAATTTTCTCAAACAAGAGCAAAATATATTACAATCACATGTATCTAAAGTAATAATGAATATGCTGACCCTTCTATATTCGGTAATAAAACGGACTCTTCTGCTTGATGTGATGCCAACACCGGATACTTCTCTTTCACGGAGACCTTTGGTTATCATCAATACCGATCCTTCGGTGCATTTAACTGCTCACAGTGCACAGGCCACCGACCTTGCGTGTTTTACAAGAACCTTTGAGATTCAATTGAACTCAGTTCATCCCCAGTAGCGCGCCCAGCGCCTACTGGGTGTTGTCGTTTCCCCGACAAAATCGACTGGATAGAAGCGGGCGTCGGTTATAACCAATCCGAAGGTAACGGGTGTCTCCACAGACAAAACACCGTCGGGTGTTTAAAGCTGCTCCGCAGTTCAGAGCTCTCCCTTTTTTCTCAGAATAGCTGAGATCCATTGGCTCAGGCCCACTCGGCGAGCTCTGAGGGTGTAAATTTTAATCAAGGCGTTCCGACTTCAAGTTGAAGCGGCATTCATTGCCATATTTACCGCTTTTTTAAAAGAAGACGGGTGCACATGGAAGACTTCCATTCTGGTCACGCGAGTGCGGAGACCCTTCATAAAGACGGTCACTGTGACCGCTTCGAAGAGATGATTGGCTGCCATTCCGGCATGAGGGTCCTAATCTCTTCGAAAAAGTCCAACAACTACTTCTTGCCCTGTCGGGCAGCAAGGAAACGCGATCGCACGCGATATGCCTTGGGCGGCGATAACACTCGCAAAAGTTGACGCTTTGGATCTGATCAGGGGAGGCGCCGCTTTAATCGAAGTAACGCACGTCCGTACCCATTCTCGCGCTTGACCACCGAGCTCGAAGATAGCTAGCGCAACGCGCTGTTGCTCGTTCTGGAGCATGGTGGATACCATAGCCATCTCGGCCTCTCCTACCCGGAGCAATGAGGTACTTTCCACCTTACCCTCGAAGGTCTAAATGCTCACCATTGAACGGCAAGGGTCGGGATGAGCCATCCGTCGTCGACGGTGGCGCCATGGACGCAGTCGACACTGACAGCTTCTGCTGTAGGTGCTCTAACTGAGCATTTTCATAAACGCCTCTAGGCACTTGCTTATCGCCTCGGGACCTTGCGAGACAAGGTGTTCCACGCCCTCAGGGACATCAGCTTATTAAGCCCGTCCTGCATGACCTGGGGCAAACTGGAGTATTGCTCCATCTTCACAGAGGATCAGTCGTAACGACTCAGGTGTAGATTAACTTCTAGTGCTACCAAATGCGGGGCTGCCGTAGCTCTTTGCTTACAGGAAGCTAAGCTAAGGTCATCGACGTTACGCCCACTACAAGAACCAGTATTAGTGTAGCGGATCGCAATCCGCAATCCCATAGTACTTGAAAATCTTAATCAAGGCAAAGACGCTCTTCCGTTCAAAACTGAAACTGTATTTAATTGTTTTCTTTGCGGCAGAGCCGCCAATATCAAACTTGCGTTTTCCTAATTAATTTGGTTATACTTAATTAATATATTAAAACCTAATTAATATAGCAGCATGTGCATTACTACTGGCAATCCTGCCACATAGTGGCTTCTTGTTACGGTGTAGCCACACTATTGTGTAATTACACTACATTGTGTAAATCACACCATATTGTGCGACACGCCATTTTGATACAAGGGTACGTGTAACCCTGTTACAAATATAGTAACTCATATAGTAACATGCAGTCCTGCCACGAAGGGCATCTTGTTACGGTGTAGCCACACCAATGTGTGATTACACTGACTTGTGTAACTCACATCTGTGTACGGTCACACCATATTGTGTGGCCCATCCTTTCATACAAGGGTACGTGCAACCCCTTACAACATTAGGTACACGCTTCGCACTGTTCCACTTCACTTATTGCAGTCCGACCGCGATTGGTGTCTATTCGACGGACGCCAACCCACACCAGCGCTCGCAGCGATCCAAGCGATATGCGCAACTTTTTCACTGCCTTTAACGACGCCTTCCCGCGGAGGACGTCATTGAACGAATGTTTGAGCTGGTACAAATGGTAAAGACTAACCCGGCCTATAGTATGTTTGTCAAACGCTTTTCAGGTATCACCACTGTGCGGGGGATTAACTATTAGAATATTCCGAGTTCACGGTCTAATGATCAAAGGGTATCGATTTTGGCAGAGTTTTGAGGTGGTCTTCCAGCCAACCATCCGACACGCTCATTTTCAAAAAAACTCAGCTCCTGCTCCAGCAACTCAAGAAATATCAGCAACTTGTTACGGATATCCCACTGCCGCCGACCGCTCCTCAGATCCAGAAAACTCAAGCCGACCTCCTCGCCCCGAAGTCGAGCTCCGCCCAGCGTACTGCATGGTCTCCGGATGCACCCGAAATCTTGAGAGGAGTCAGACCGAGGGTCCAGAAGAGGACGCTGATGACTCAATAATGGTGTCTCGTGGAAACGCTCCTCAGAACCACTCACCTCAAGCCGACCCCTCCCACCCCAAAATCAATCCACATAGCAGGCTGTATTGTCGCAGACTGCACCCAAAAAGGAGACAAGGGTCATGAGCCCTGAGCGGGGTCAAACTTAGGGTCCGGAAGAGGTCAGTAAGGGATCAGAGGTGGTGTTTGGTGGAAGCGATGCTGCCGCCCGCAACAATCAGGATGTTGCTTCCCCTGTAAATTCTTTGGAGCTGAACTTGGTGAGCCAAAGTAACGACGACGTGATCTGCAGCGACAACAACGAAGACGGCAACAACAATGGCGTCGACGCCGGTGAAGACAACGACGAATACCCGGGCCGTCATCTCCAACCACTACTCCACCAACATCCTCGTTTACGACCGAAGAACCGGTGGCAGTGACCACGGTGTGTGGGTACGCATATCAGAAACGAAGACTTTCGTAAGCTCGGCGAGATTGTAACATACTACTCCAATGAAGTCCCACGGTACGGTGTGGTGCTCAGCGTCAAGCCTCTCCGCAAGAATTTGTACGATAGGGGAGGTGCCGATCTTATGATGATTGTGAGACGTGCACTTCCCGACGACAAGAGAGTTCGTCTGCTCGAGCCAGGCGTGTACATCCTCGGGGCAACATGCGGGCTCACTGATTCGCAATAAGTCACTGCGGACAAACACATCATCTTACATAAATATTCTCTGTGTTTATTGGACTAAAAGATGCCAAAATTGCACAAAATGCAAATTCGACAGTTAAGAAATACGATGAAGCTAAACCGTATTTCAAATAGTCGCCAAATACAACAGCCGCGAAGTAAAGTCCGCGACCTTCAAGCCGATGTCGCACTCTAAGCATGTGACTCGCCAGCACCACAGCCACAGTATGGATGACACAAGTCCTTGCGAACAAAGCACTGTTACATCTATCGCTACGCTTGCCAACGAGGAGAGCCCGATGCACCACGTGCGTCGCCTTTCCACTGGCCAAATGGCCGATGAAGTCATTCCTAAAGAGCGCATAGATGTCATATATGAATTTCTTCGGCAACATGTTACATCTCGACCACTTGTCGGCGTTGTGTGTGGAACCGGTTTGGGGGGACTTAGCAAGTGTTTGTCTAACCAGGAGGTTATTAAATACGAGGATATTCCACTCTTTCCACGAGCAACTGTGGAAGGACATGTCGGCGAGTTAGTCTTTGGAGATCTGGAAGGGGTCCGTGTTGTCTGTATGCGAGGTCGCTTCCATTGCTACGAAGGTTATGCAATGCGCGAGACGGCACTGCCCATTCGTGTCTTGTATCTACTGGGCATCAAATACTTGGTAGTGACCAATGCCGCAGGAGGTCTGAACCCGGACTTTAATGTCGGCGATTTGATGATTCTCAGCGATCACTTGAATATGCCGGGGATGTCGGGTCAGCACCCATTGATTGGACCTAATGACTCTCGCTTTGGTGCAAGGTTTACACCGTTGTCGAACGGCTACGATAAGACGCTTCAAGATTTAGCTTTTAATGTGGCCGAAAAACTTGGCCTTACGCACAAGGTTCGGAAAGGAGTATACTGCTTTGTTTCTGGGCCGACGTATGAGACACCAACAGAATGCCGCTTTCTTAGACTAGTAGGAGGCGACGCCGTCGGCATGAGCACAGTACCTGAGGTGATAGTGGCTGTGCACTGTGGTCTCAAAGTTATTGGCCTGTCTTTAATCACCAACAAAGCGCTTTTTCCTGGAGAAGAGCGCGAGGCAGCTTCTCATAGTGAGGTCCTCGAAACTGCTCAGGCTACGCAACACGACATCGAGAAGTTTGTGCGTGATCTGATTGTAGCAATTGGAAAACAAATGAGTTCGTAAAGCGGCGCGGTTTTTCAAAGACGTTTATTCGGAAATATCATTATTGCCTGCGTTTCGACGATCTGAATAAGTTAACTTATAGAAGTAGACTGAACATCTGCGCCCATAATATTTACATCTAAAAGACGTATGCTGCCGTGACGTTATTGAACAGGCATGCAAATCAATGCATTTTTTTACATCAAAGATTAAATTACTGCCATGTAAAAACGGTGTGCTAATTTCTCTGACAGAGTGCTAGGCTTGATTTCTCAACCAAGGTTTAGGTCCTGGACATACCACGAGCTACTGTTCTTGCTTTCGATACGAAGTGTTTCTTTAATGGTTGCAGATTTTCATCTAGCACTGTGATATTTGTTTTGTTTTCTGAACCATCTTACAGAACACAATCGTCTAACATTGAAGCCAACAAAGTTTAAACTATTCGCTGCTACTTTATCGACTACACGCTCTTAAACGACCGCTCGAAAAATTTAATGCACCCGTCGTAGCTTGCGCTCACAATCAATCCCGTGCATGCGTTCGAATTCACATCGTCACGTGCCTCAAGTTTTGACTTAACCATGGCAAAAGTACTCGCTGGGGCAAACAAGGCAACCGTGACGATGCCGTTTGGAGGATCGGCAGCTACAAAGAAAGTAAAAGCAGTTAGAAAAGAAAAGCAATATTTCGACAAAACTTCCAATCATCCGTACCACTAAATGATTCATAGGAGGAATTGCGATCATGTTTGCTGCTTTTGACTATGCTCATCGACCGAAGATATCTATATAAAGCAAATCAAGCATTACTTAATCCAGCAATGACAGCGATTACAGCCTTTAAAATACAAACCTCGCCTTGTTCCAAACGTAAACAGAGCCATTTTCAGATCCGCAAATTACAAAGTCGCCGTCTTGACTAGAAGAACAAATGACATCAGAAGGAGATGATAACCAAGCTGATCTCGAAAACCCTCCCACCTAAATCTTCCCTTTATTTGAAGATGGCCATTGACAAGGCCCTTGTATTTGCATATTCTAGAATAATTGTCGACCGAAAAAAGCCTCATGCGCGAGTCATTTGTGCTGACCAGAAAATATTTGCCTTCTGGATCGAACTCGATACCCGTGACTTTTCGCCCTTTTCTCATGGACCCTCGGCTGTTTCGGCACTCAATTTGTGTGTAGTAATTCATCTGCTGATGTGAGTTGACTTGATAAAAGATGCATTGACCGTTAAGCAAGCCAACAACAGCACGTGTACCGCTCGGATTAAAGCTCGCAGCAGTAATCATTACTGGTGTCTGCACGTATGAAACCACACAGCCATCCGGAATGTCCCAAACGCGCGCTTTGTTGTCAAAACAACCTGACAGGAAATACCTGTCCTCCTGACAATAATGAGCTCACTTCAATCTAACATTAATGGGTGCATAGAATGAGATGAAATAACCTTCGGATGAAAGTCTACTGCAGGTACACTATCAGGATGATGGAAAACGTGCAAGCAGTCTTCGCGTGAAATGTGCCACAATCGTATCGTCTGTATGCGTAGCAAACAATTATGGGTACTGTTCACCTTGAAAAAATGTTCTTGCTTTACAAACCTTGTCCATCGATGCCGACAAAATAAAGTTACTGCGACTCCAAGAAACATCAACAATTGGCATTGTGTGCCCCTATCATGTTCAATACGTTTTGTTGTCAACACGGGGGAAATCTAGCCTTCAAACTTACGTCAATACACCATACCTGGTAGGATCTTTCTGGCTCAGTGTCTAGAATCTGTTTTTCATCGCTTTCTTTTGCCAGCTTTGCGTCTTCGTCGGAACTAATCTGAACCCTCCAAACACGTAACACGGCATCTTGACCACCAGACACAAGACGAGCACCGTCGTGGCTAAATTTAATCGTCCAGATGGTGCCAATGTGCTTCGATATTGTCTGTGCTAAGCTTATGTCCTCGAACTCCCTCTTTTCTTTCTTAAACGACGTCACCTGTCAAGGTCGTCCAGTTAATCAGACTCTTAGCTATAGCATTATAAAAATTACCGGGACATGATTCCGTTTCAAAGGCTCCTTCACTTTAGACTTCATTGGAAACTTGGACATGATTTTTGTAAGCGAAGGTCGCCTGCTCTTTGTTCGTTTGACCTATTTGACAAAGCTCATCAGATGTATTCACATCGTTCAGGATGAAGTAAGGTACGAACGTCTTCTTCTTGCGGAGCTAAGAAATCGTTCGGAAAAATCGAGTAAGAATTTGCTGGCATGCTGGCGAGATCTCGAATGTCGAAGACTTCACCGGTGTCTTTATTTTTTACAATGTACTTACTGTCGTCTGAGTCAGTCCACTTATGCGCCATCTCGTGAATGGGAGATACATAATACGCAGGTACGTTTGAAGCTACAGCATAGAATTAGTGACCCCAACGCTAGATACCGAGTTTGAGCCGCGCAAAGCCTCATTGGCTGCTTCAAACACACCTGCTGAGCCTTGGCGTGAACCACCTGCATCCGAGTCTTCGTGAGCATCATAGAACTATACAGAGGTTACTATCATCAGCGCCTCGGTGCTCTGACATTTAAAACTACTGCGCGGTAATGACGCACATCTTCGTCTGACATCAGTCCGCTGTCTTCATGCCTTGATGCTCGACCATGTTCTGGGCTAGTCATAGTTGATGTGGTGATGATTGCGGAAGGCAGCGTCGCATTTGGTGTTGAAATAAGGCATTTTGCCGGGGCTCGAGCCTTCGCTTTGTCCATAACTCTGCAGTTTCCTTCTGACTTGCCCGCGGAGCTTTAGATATTAATAAACTTCAACCAATGAGCAATCACTCTTGTAGTTGAAGCGACGCAGAAAGGATTCGCATTTCTCGATATTGCAACAAGGTGTAGATAAAAATGACGATTGCCACAGCAATAGAACCTGATTTCTTTGCGCTGCACAATCGAAAGCCAAAAACAATTGACGTGGAGATGCTGGATTATGGGTTTGTGGAAAGATGCACTAATCTTGATGAGCTAAAGGGAATTCTTGTGACACTCCGATCGGGAAAGGAAGGCCGTTATCCAGAACTGGAGAAAGCTACTGAGAATCGCATTCTTGCAGTTTTGCCTGAACGAGAGAGAAAGAAAATCATAAGTATGCGCTCGAGACTTTCAGCCAACGAAGTGACTACCGAGGTGGATGAGCTTGCCAGTTGGGCGGCTGCAATGGACTTGAGGAATGAGGCATTGATAAGACAAGCTCCGCTCAAGCGAGAGCATCCACCTGTCAGAGGTCAGAAAGCGTTGCAATCAGAGCTTGTAAGGGACCAGGCAGAAAAAATCAATCACAAAAGGGCAGAGGAAAAGAGCCTGAAGGCGATTTCGGCGTACGATTTCAGATCGTGGGAAAAATATGACGCTGATAAAGCACTTGAGGATATTGATGCAGAAACTGATCGAGCGCGGCAACAAGCTAGACAGCAGCAAGCAGAGCAGGACATGCGTTTGGTAGCTCGAAAGCAAGAGCTTCAGTCTTTGTCCAAGTCTGTGGAACTGGATAAGCTAGAGCCGGAAACAAGAAAATTGTATGCAGGGTATGAGAAGCAAAAAGGAAATGACTGCTTTAAGGCAAATGAAGTTGAGACAGCCTTGCTGCACTACACCCGCAGCATTGCTTATGACGACACCGATGCCATAATTTATGCCAATCGCGCCCTTGTGCATCTACGATTGAAAAACTTTGCAGCTGCTGAAGATGATGCTACGCGTGCTATTCTGCTCAATCCAGCTTACTTGAAGGGGTGGAGTCGCCGTGGCATGACACGGTACAGAAGAGGGAAATATGCTGAGTCGATACAGGATTTTGAAGAAGCACTGCGACTAGACCCCGAGAATCGGGAGGTGGCAAAGTTGTTAAAAGCTGCCCAGGTAAAACACGTGGATGTCAATGGCGTTTGCGAGAGCAACCAAAATTTGTTTACAGGCAACGACGCAAACGAGAAGCCGTCCCAGCGCTTCGAAATTATCAAGGAGGAAGAAGAGGAAAATGAGCTATATCACGAGAGAAGCAATCAAAGCGTAAGCATTTTGCAGCCTGAGCAGAGCAGCTCATCGAACAAACCCTTTACCCGTTTTGAAATCATCGAGGAGGGGTCGGAAGACGAGGATGACGATTGATTTGGAACCGCTTGTTAAGAAATTTGTAGGTAATTTTTAAATGTATATCCAGCACAGCACAAAAGTATATTACTCGACGAGCTGCAGCTCGACGGTAGTCCTTTACCTTCTCTGATTCTATTCTGCAACATATTCCTTGTTCAAATCGATTGTCTTCTCCATAAAGTGACGAACAACACCGAGTCCTGGCTTGGCGGTCGAAAGGAAGTAAGATCGCGTGTCCCCGAAAGACAGCACCGCAGCCTTCACGAGTATGCCAGGAGAGAAAATCTCCTCCATCACTAGCTTGTCAGTATCGTGGGTCCGCACATCTTCTAATCTAATCGTGCCAGGAAAGGATTCCCTCAAAACCGTCTCGCTTGCACAAATAATGTCAACCATTACTTGTCGCGTCGTTATTCTTACCACCCGGCAAATGACAATGTCGCCGAGGCGAAGCACTTGTGCTGACGCTATCGTCTTGTTGATCCGCGTAACCTCCACAACCTCCTGCGATATGCACCAATTGCCAAAAATCGACGCAAAAATTGAGCCATCGCGAACATAGCATCCGCTGCCAGCCTGCAGCTTACCATCCGCAATGGCCAGCCGCTGGCCTGGAATGGCAGTATTGCTCATTTTATCTGAATAGCGAAAAAAATTGATATTGGAATTTTGTGTAAAAACACAGTGCCCAGAAGTTGACATGGTACGTCTTAAAACTCGTTATCTACTGGTGGAGATAACGGCTGCCCGCAAGCTGGCAATAAAAAAAGAAGATATTACGTCGTCGATCCGCGAGTCAATCGCGAAAAGCTACGGGGACTTTGGCTCAGGTCTATCACAGTACACATTTCAAGGTGGGCAATGATTGATAGAATGCAAAAACACTTATTTCACGCTGTGTAATCATTTGCTGTTTCTTATTGCTATCAGTGCTATACTATAACACGCAAACTAGACTCGCAGTCATTCGATGCGCACGAGATGTGTGCAAGATGGTGGAAACGTCACTGGTATTCGTGACGGATATCCAAAATCAAGATATCAGCATTCGGGTTGCTCGCGTATGCGGTTCGTTCCATTCTGTAAAGTTTGTGTTGCGCTGAATCGACTATTTATATGAAAAATGCTTCATTGATCAGGCTCGAGTCGTATATGCAGGAAGCATTTGCTAACATTTTCTTTAGAACGCGCTCAAGCTTTAAATTTGTATGTTTCACAGCCCCAATTTGACCAGGAATTGCAGGCAGAAATCGCATTGGTGGATCCACAATAGTTTTTTATTGGACAAGCGCTCCAGCCGTCTCAAATTCTGCGTGTATTTATGCACTGCTCCTCCCTACGAACTGTCTAATCAATAGTCTTGCCCAGCTCCTCATACTCGGTCTCAATCTGAGAGCAAAAAAAATCCACATCTTCGAAAATGTCGAGCACATTTTTGTCAGGTACCTCCATCAGCTGCGTGCTACCATTGACTTCACATAATAGCGTGTTAGTAATTATATACCGCTGTTGTGACTATCGCTTATGCAAATCAACGTACTGAATTCCAACTTGATTGTTGGCAGCGAGCCGGTAAGTGAAGGTTGAAAAGCAATTTCGGCCTTCGGGTTCACCTTGCGAGTCTGTAATGTATCAATCGCCCATTAAAACGACCTTATATTATGTTTCGTTAAAGCGCCCTAGGTCACCTTCTCTGCTGCCAGCTGCCGATAGAATTCGCTTTTAACACGCACAAATAATCACTCCATGCCATAAAAGCGGTAATTGAAAGACCAACATCGCAGCTACTAACCATGCACCTGTCGCTCGCTTATCAAAGCTGGAGAAGGACACATTGGCCGACTTCAAAAATCGAACCAGGTTGCGCGCCGCCATCCTGAAGTGTGTAACTTTACCGCCTTCAATTACGACTGATCTGCTTTTTACCTATGGTCGTGTGGTGTGGCGCGATTGGTTAAAAAATAGTGTATTTTTGTGAGGTAACGGAGTACGTAACCTATTACATCATAACAGTAACTAGCAAACTTGTTGAGGATGGGTCTTACGCTCCACCGAAGTGTGATACTGAGAGCCTGTCAGGTACATATTCAATTTGGTTCTTACTATTAGAGTGCCTTGTACTTGAAAACAAGATTAGCTGGAATAAATCTGGTTATAATCTACAGCAAGAAACGCTATGTAATGATTAGCGTGAGACTAGCGACTCAGTTGTCCACCAATCTTTTGTCCACAACGTTCCCTCACTCTTATCAATATATCGAGTACTTAACATCATGCTTTGTTGTGGTACTTAAATTTGATACTTGTGAGATCCCACAGGCATTGGTGACAATGTACGTACACCTAGCTATGGAACGCACACCGTAACTTATAGCCTTCCCCACCATGATAAGGACCACACCGGGCTACATTTATTGTATATTTCTAAAACATTACGCTAAAACAATGTTCTCCTCCACTTGTAACATGTAGTGCATACTCATAGAGCATCAAATGCCTTAGGAGTGCTCACCTATTCGTGCTCCTGTGGCTAAAGGACCATCTGAGAAAAAAGACACACTTTTCGCAGAGGACGACCATGAAACATTTCTCAATGAGAAAGCTTAGGTGCGCTTAAATATAAATGGCCTTAGTGAATCTTCTAATCGGCCCGCAGAGCCAATTTCAAGGCTAATGCAAGCTAGACGTCATCGCGAGTTTGTAATAGTGTGTGCCTAGTCTTTCTGCCACAGCCTACAGCCATGGATCGCGCAATTCGTGCGCATGAGTGTTTTGGATGCCTCTTTCTTAGTGATCTAATATCTCTTCCTCACTCAAAAAATAGACAAAACCATTTATGCAAAAACGACGTAAGCTCTGTAGCGGCATTAACAGCAATAATCAACGCGAAATAGAGGAGTCCGAGCACTCCGTTTTAGACCCACAGTCTCTTTTCGCAATAGCTTCTCCTGCTCGCAAATAACGCGTCTCATCTGGTTGTCAGTCTGCAGATAGTCAGCGATGGACATGTTTAATTTGGTGTTCAACAACATGAACAAAGCTCACCGAAACTTAGCTGCAAGACTCGATCCTCAACAATTGCTACCGGCATTCCGGGTGCCGAATCACTTTATCGCAAAAAAGCTCGGTAGCATTCGTGCCAAATATATAACAGCGAGATGGCCCATCTTGCTCAGACGGTCTACAAAGACAACAAGGCCGGTATCATCGGTCACCTCTTTCAAAAGACCGCAGTTATAGCTCATTCTTGGGAACAGCCAGCATTCTGCCTGAACCGCCACACTGGCCAAAGGCGCCAACACACGCAGCAAGATTTAACCTATTGACACGAACTGCTTACATTGAGTAACATCTTTTGGTGTGCAAACAAAGTGGTTATAGCTATCTTGTTGCTTGATGTCGCCTCATGACGTAAGAGATCGTAGCTCGCATGGTATAAGTCAGTAGTACCAAGCGAGAGGAACAGAGATCGATGATCTCGCTTTATCGTTCAATATTTCGCTCAAACGCATGAAGTGCGTAACAACTCAGACATATTTACATAGCGCTCGCTGAGTATCATGTATTTTCTCTTCCGACCTGGCTTTGATAAGCTTTCAGTGTGGTGAAGTTTTACGTACCCTGGTAGGAAGGGTGGACACACAAGTTGGTGTGATCACACAATGGTGTGCGTTGCTCAAGATGACGTGACCACACAATGGTGTAGATTTACTTAAACAAGATGTCAGTACGTGGCTGAAACAGTTAGAAGTTATACATTTAATTAGGTTATATTATATTAATAAGAAAACCTATAGATTTAGATATAAACAGCAGGGATTTTAAACGGGAGAGTTACTTATACTTGGGTAAATGTTTACTTACTCTTCGAGTAAGTTGATTGCGATCCGCTACACCAGTACTGGATCTAAGTATAGAACGAAGGTCGCCGACCTTAATTAAGATTCCTCTAAGCAAAGAGCTTCCTCAGCCCCGCAGTCTTGCTGCACTTGGTAGCACTCGAAGTCAATCTACGCCTGAGTCGTTACGAGTGATTCTCTGTGATGATGAAACAGTTCATCTATTTGTTCCAGGGCATGCAGGATGAGCTTAAAAATCTGGTGTCATTGCTTGGCCCTGAGGACGTGGAACTCGTTATTTCGCAAGGACCCGAAACGATAAATGCGCGTCTAGAGGCGTATTTTAACTATGAAAATACTCTGCTAGTTAGCACCTAGAGAAGAAGATGTCGATGTCGACAGCGTCGCCGTCGTCGACGGATGACTCCTCCCGACCCAGGCCACTCATTGTTAGCGTTAAGACCTTTGAGGGTAAGAATGGGAAGAATCTGCTGCTCTGGGTGAGGGAGGTCGAGATGGATATGGCATCCGCCATGCTCCAGAACGAGCAACAGCGGGTGGCGCTAGCTATCTCCAAGCTCGGGGGCCGAGCGCGTGAATGGGCACCAACGTGCGGTACTTCGGTTGAAGCGGCGTTCCCCTCCCGGACGGAGCTGGAGCTGCAATTTTTAGAATGTTTATGACACCTAGTCAGGCATAATTCGAGCGATCGCGTTTTCTCACCGCCCAACAGGACAAGAAGAATTTGCTGGACTTTGTTCAAGATTCAAGAAATCGAATTGCGGGAAAATCAGCCGATCATCTTCCTGAGGTGGTCACAGCGACCGCCGTTATGGGGGTCTTCCGCACTGGCGTGGCTAGAATGGAAGTCTTCCGTGTGCATCCGTCTTCTCTTGCAGAAGTGGTGAATGTGGCGTTGAATGCCGGATTCAGCTTTAAGTCGTCGCGACTTGGTTGGCATGCATCCCCTCACAGCTCGTCGAGCTGGCCTGAGTCAATGGATCTCAGCTATGCTGAGAAACAGAGGGTCAGAGCTTCGAGCTGCCGGGCAGCTTTAAACACCCGACGGTGTTTTGTCTGTGGAGACACCCGTCACATTCGGACTGGTTGTCCCATGCACAAGGCGCGTAAAGATTTATCAAACCGACGTCCCGCTTCAAAACAGTCTGGTCTTGTCGCGGGGAAACGACAAAACTTAGTAGGGCCGGGATAGAACTGAAATATGTTGTGCCTCGAAGAGCTAAAGGGCAATAAGTCCCGGCCCCGAAGAGCACCCTGCTCTTGAACACGGAACGTGTATGCAAGCCGGGCTTGCTGGTCGTAAAAGCGACCGTGTGAAACGCTGCTTAGTCTGAGACTTGGATTCAAGGTATGACCTTGTCATTGATATGGCATGGTTCGAACACCATGAGCCATAGAATGATTGGAGGTCGAAGACATTTGGAGCTTCGTGCAAATCTTCTGGTGGAGCTTTGGTGGGTCATGAACTCACCTCTGCTGGTAGGAAGCAGAAGCGCTATTGGCGCGGGCACTGACCGGGACGGACAATGTGCTGGATATCGGAGTATCCGAGTTGTCGAAAACCGAAGGTTTATCGGACAGGAGTCCCGAGCATGGCTTGCGGGCTAAACGTGGAGTGGCACGTAACCCACTGAGCACTGCTCAAGTATTGGATCAGTCACTGCGTACCATGCGTGGCTTAATAGGGCGAGTTGTGAGGCATCGAGGGCGAGGCCCCAGTGATGCACGTGGAGTGGCACATTAACCAGTGAGCAATGCTTAAGTATCGCAGCAGTCGCTGCATGCGACGAGTGGTATGGTCGGACGAGATCCGAGGCATCGCGAGCGAAACTCCAGTGGTGCACGTGGAGTGGCACGTAATCCACTGAGCACTGCTCACGTTTCATTGCAGTCGATGCATGCCACTAGTGGCATGGCTGGACAAGGTCCGAGGCATCTTGGGCATGGCCCCTCAAATGTGTGTGGAGTGGCACGCTGTCCACTGGACGAAGACTGCGGACTAGCAGCTCTTCGTCAGATGTTGTAAATAACATCAGGGCTTCTGTGGAGCAGGAAGTGGGGCTAACACTGGACAATGTTGAGTGCGTGTTCCCACTGGTCTCGCCTAGACGTAAATTTATTAGGGAGCGACATCGCGTGCTAGCTGCAAGCGCCGAGCGTGATCTGTCTACCGTAGTCGATAGCGCACCACCGTACACCCTCGTCAGCACTATGACGACGGACGAAGACGGCAACGTCAGCCTCTAGGCTGTTCCAGCGGTGGATGCTCCTCTCGAGCTGAACGAGATGTTCTTGAAAGAAGTTGGAGGTTGGGCGACTTAGGCTAACTGATCATCATACGACCGGAAGAGGAGATCACTTGTAGATGAAGCTGATCCGGAGGACGCTATGAGGGTGCTGAGCACACGAAGTGGATCTTCGATACTGAAGAATCCCTCGGATCCGTACTATCCTTTGGAGAAGGAAATACAAGACGTCGTCTCTAAAAACCCGCCGTAGGTCTTACCTTAGGACCGATGTGTGTATCATGCGATCGGTCTGGTTCCGGTAACCAAATACTGCGTTACGCGCCAACGGCCCCTGCTTAAGGAGTTTTTCTACGTCAATGACGCCTACTTCCATGCGAAGCACGATGCAGGAATGATGCGTGAGAGCAAGTCTCCTTATTCGATACCCACGTTTCGTATCCAGAAACCGATCGGCAATTGGCGTATCGTTCATGCTTACAATTAGCATATCGCTGTTATCATTCTGGCACAGATACCGATACTTATGAAGGGTGTTCTCCAGAACAATATGGTTGGCTGTACAAAGTACAGTACACTCGACTTGGTATATTGGTATTACGAATTGACCCATGAGAGCTAGTGATATTCCGCTGACAGCGGTGACTATTCCAAGCGGCATGCTCTGGGAGTGACTGGCGGTGCCCCAAGAGCTGTCAAATGCATCAGCAACATGTATCGTCTTGTGACGCAGTTGTTCAGGCCCCACCAGGCGTATTCACAAACATAC